AGATATGACGTTTAGGAAAATAGTCTTCTCACTCTAATTTTAAGGAGGCTGACTCATTGAAAACAACTTGCACACACCCAGACACCAAACTATCTTAAGCATTTCATGGATCTACTCTAAAATTCACAGTTGTCTACTTTAATGTGGAGTTTTCCATTTTCACCCGCTGCAACCTCAAGCACTCTAATGTGAGAGTCAAGAGATATGTTTTTTAAAAAAGCTGAAAATGCAGTGACAGTTCACGTTGGAAAAGTTTGCGGTTGCATATTTTCTCTAGAAGAAAAAGAAAAAGTAAAAATGTTCAACTGAATGACAATCGGCAAAATTTGACTTGAAATTTGTTTTAAAATCATAAAAATGTTCAATCTGACAATGTCCTTTTTAAGGATCTTAACCAGGATCTTATTATTGCTTTGCTTGCCCATGTGTTAAGCAAAATCAGTTCACTCTCAAATAAATCCTTCCTGAAAAAAGCACATGTATCGCATTCCCTTTTCCAAAAGTTAGATACAATCTGGGATGTAGTTATTGGTATCACTGCAGCCACAGATGGTCAGCTCATGTGGTCGTAAACCCCTTTTTGTCGGCACTATAACATGTACTTTTCTTGGATAAAGTGGATTTAAGTGCATCGACTGAGCCGAACGTCATCCGTGTTCCCTCCTGTGTCCTGATATGACAGCAGCCATGGCGATAGCTAATAAGTCTGGTATAAGATGATTAATGTTAATAAGGATACCTGTGTGTGTGTGTGTATCCCTACCTGTGTGTGTGTGTGTTTGTGTGAGTGTGTGTGTGTGTGTGTGTGTGTGTGTGTGTGTGTGTGGTGTGTGTGTGTGTGTGTGTGTGTGTGTGTGTGTGTGTGTGTGTGTGTGTGTGTGTGTGTGTGTGTGTGTGTGTGTGTGTGTGTGTGGTGTGTGTGTGTGTGTGTGTGTGTGTGTGTGTGTGTGTGTGTGTGTGTGTGTGTGTGTGTGTGTGTGTGTGTGTGTGTGTGTGTGTGTGTGTGTGTGTGTGTGTGTGTGTGTGTGTGTGTGTGTGTGTGTGTGTGTGTGTGTGTGTGTGTGTGTGTGTGTGTGTGTGTGTGTGTGTGTGTGTGTGTGTGTGTGTGTGTGTGTGTGTGTGTGTGTGTGTGTGTGTGTGTGTGTGTGTGTGTGTGTGTGTGTGTGTGTGTGTGTGTGTGTGAAGGCTTCCCCACATAGAGGTATTTTCATCCCCAGGGCCACAGCCTGCCCGCCGGCCCCTGCAGAAGTTTGTAGAGGATAAATAAACCTCTTCAGACGGACAGAAAAGATGGAGTCTGTATGCGGCGCACTAACGTACGGCGCGCCGCAGTATCTCAAAGAGAGACTTTATATTATTCTGAAGGGCTATTTGTTATGATATTGAGCCGAGAGGGTAAGAAGGGCCAGGAGGGCAGGGGCCTCTTGATTTATGGAGTGACCGCCTAGCCTGTACTACACACACACACACACACACACACACACACACACACACACACACACACTTTTTCTCTTTTGCGATCGCAGATACTTACATACACACACATGTACATATCACAGTTACATACACACTCAAAGAGCACATATCACACATTGCTTCCAGCTGGCCCATGGTTCCGGTGAGAGTGCTCCCACCCCCATCAAAAACACACACACACACACACCAGGCAGCTGATAGCTCACACATGCCACACCGGATAAACCAGCGGGAATGTCTCAGTGTTGATATCTGGCCGGACTGCACCAAAATGCTGCAGCTGAGCTTTCATTGTTGTGCTTTTTCAGAATAACTTTAGGTTGGATTTATTCATGAATTTGATACATGTCATCAAGTAGTTTACACAGAATATAAACACAAGGATTTGAAAGGGCAAAACCTTTGAATTCATGTTTTTAATCAAACCAAATGTAATTATTTTTTATCATTATCATGTGAGGCCATTATTGGGCAAAGTAATATCAGACATCATGCAGATTCATATTCTTCTCTGACTTCTGAATAGTTGATTTTTGATTTATTTGGGAGTCTGCCTTTAAACTTTTTCCTGTGATGTCTAAATGTTTTTATCAGTGTGTTTCCATTAAAAAGTGTACAATTTTGGCTTCGAAACAAACAAAAGTTAAGACCATGAACAGTTGTAGTAGTAAAAAATGTTTGTTTTCTACTTGGTACCATCTTTTTTGAAAAAACACTGTATAGCCAAGGCGCTTACCACTTGGCAGCCAAGTTAAACCCGCTTGCTAGTACAACTTTTAAAGTAATAATGAACTTTTAATGTAAATGTTCACAATAACTTATCAAACTTTGTTTAGCAGGTTGTTATCTAAACACTATAGAATGCAAACAATGTTTATAATTTTCTGCAGGGGAAACCTAGAGTTCTTTCAAGGATTTCTGAAACACTTTCATCAAAATATGGACCTTTTTTGCTTCAATGTCAGATTCACAGAACCACAAAAGGCAAATCGGCCCATTTTGATTTCAAACTACACTTCCTTACTCACATGTGAGGAAGGTGACCGAGTGACTGAACATTCATTCACTTCCACGTGTTCCCACCTTAAAGCTGCTCAACAACTGAGTTTTCCACAGCTGGACACACATTGACAGGATTTTCTTTTCAGGAATTTAAAGTGCTCACTTACTAACTAGGAATCCATCTATTTGCATATTTCTCAGTGACACACTTGCATGACTACATTTCAAAGAGCTGTCTCCTGTCACTGTGATCAAACCTGTGACCGTACATTACAGGACGTTCACTTAGGAAAGGTAGAGCGAGGCAGCATCAATCTCCACTAAAGCTCAGCGGCTGGTAGATCTGTCCTGAAAGGTCGTGCTGTGGCACAAAGGGGAAGTCTTTCAAACCAGAACCACTTTTATTCAAAGCAGTTTTTTCCCCCACATTTAAATCTGCATTTCAAAGTGCAGGATCCGAAGCAAAGGCAGATATTTAGTCATTGCTGGTGACTGAAAAAGGGCACTTTGCTCGTGAAAAATTGAGTTTTTAATGCATGAGAAATATCTTTGTTTTGTTGTGTTCTTTAGGAAAATTGCATTTGTTTCGCCTCTGGCAGAGTAAACACACAAGCAGTGAACAAACGTTCCCCCTATCTATTTTCCCAGGATCAAAGCCACAGCATTGCCTAGCCTTGCTATGAACAAACCCTTATTAAATAAATTGTTTTTTATAACCCACATTTTTCTCCAAAGAGACCACAGTATGCTTTGAATAGATATAGAGGATAGTTCCAAATAAAAAACCTGACACTATCTGTATGGTTCGACACAATTAGACGTGAGAAAATATGTTCTTTTAATTTGGGTGAACTAGCCCTTTAAGCAGTGCGTAATACAAATAAATCGTTTTCGACGCTGCCAGAGGAGGTTGTGCTTGAATGCTCGTGCTCCATAAAGCCGAAGTGAGCTATGAGTCTCTGGAGATTATTATATCTACCCCATAAAGCTCGATTTCCCATGTTTAAGACCTGCAGATATTCTTAGCCCCATTTTCTCCTTTTCTTTCACAGAGGTCATAAGTAATACACGAAAGGTAGCGAGCCATTCATGCTCAGATATAATTTATGCTCTGTGCACCGTCGCCTCTGTGTTTTTCTTCCCGTGAATGGGCCTTTCTGCTCTCAAAAAGAGGAGTTGTAAATATCGTTGTCAAAGCCAGAGGCCACGCAGAGAACTGCACAGCCACGTTAAGCACATTATGGACTTAACATCTCCAGGATTTGTAATGGATGGTTGCAATAAAAGAGAGAAAACAATTCACAACTCTCTATTCAGTTTGTTTTATTTAAGACCCGCAGTACAAAGAAGAACTTCACTGTAGTTTGATTTTGGACGACTGATGATATACAGACATGTTTCAAAGGAGCGATACCTGCTGGTTCTCCCACATAAACGTCACGTCTGTCCGCCTGTACGGTCCACATCAGAATCTGAAAGAGCCCATTTATTATTTAAATCTCCTACTATGTATTCCTCGAGAAGATTGTATCGTCTGATTCTAACCTTGCCTTTCAACCCCACCTAACATCAGTTCGAGGCTGTCTGTGAGAGCGCTGCGTTCACGTTCGCTGCTTGTGAGCAAGGCCGCTGGTCAACAGTGGGTGTATTTGCCGTCATAAATCAAGCTCTTACCACACCTCATCCACTCTCTTTCCCATGGGCGAGTGTGTTGTGTACTCTGTTGCCTGAGCAGCTCATTGAAAGCCTTCACAGCGGGTGTCTGTGCTACATGCTAGCATATGTGGAGGTATGCATGCCTCTGTGTGTTTATGAGTGTCCTTGTGTTTGTGGCGTTTTGTATGAATGGTTGCCTGAGCGACTAGAGTAGTTACTTTTCTATCTGTATAATTGACTTCTGGATGAGAAGACACCTCTTACATGAGGAGACACAAGGGGAGCCACTGTTTATTTACCCAGACCCAGAGTAAATGAGCTGGTGTGTGACAGCAAAGGTTGGAGAGGAGAAGGGAGGGGGGGCGTTCATTTCCACACAGCCCAGATCTGTCTCCATCTTCGTGCTGGAATAAAAAGTTACAATTTTCAGACTTCCAGAGGCAGATTAGCTGATAGTACGCCAGCGGGTCGGCGGTTATTTCTGCTTGACTGCCTCATTGTTTCAGAACGAACGGGTCTTTTTCTTATACTGAAAAAACATGTGAATAATGTTGCCTCTAAATAACGCTGTTTATTCAAAATCCTAACCCCTTATTTACAAAATGTCTACAAGTATACCTGTGCTGAGAAAAGTGTTTTGATTGTTTGATTCGATTTATCCTATAATGTTTTATTTCAACAAGTCCACACATTTCCAAAAATGTAAGCTTTTATCACAAAGTTTTTCAGGTTAAATTAAAAAAAAAATCAAAAGAATTAATAAAAAAAATCTTAAGACTTAAAAAGACATATCATATATGAAGAATATTGTTGTGTGGAATACAAAGCATATGTCTGACCCCACTGTGTCTTCTTCTTGTTTGCAGACTCTGGGTCTAGTGAGTCAACGTTCCTGGAGGACCATGTCCTGGGCATGGGGGAAAACCTGGAGATACCATGTGACCTGGAGGACCACTCAGAGCCCGTTGTCTGGTTCAAAGACGGCGCCGGGCTGGTTCCTGGCAACCGGACGCGGCTGGGCCAGAGGTTGTTGCGCATCATCAACGTGTCGTACGAGGACTCGGGCGTTTATTCGTGTCGGCTCGCACAAAGCAACACGCTGCTCAGCAACTACACCGTCAGGGTGACAGGTGAATGGAATATTTGCTCATGAGATAATTTGATGGTTTATCAGAAACAATACTTGCTTTATTCTCAAGACAATCAAGATACTTTTGTCATTTATTTGAGCCAGATTCTGCCAAAAATGTCATCCTGTGATGTCTAAATGCCAATTCCGAGAGTTTTTACATAAACGATTGTCCTTTTGTGGCATGGAAACAGTCTAATGTAAAGATAAGGAACAACGTTTTTGACTTCACTGTGCCATCCTTTTGAAAACCACTGCTGGGAGCAACCCGATGGCCGCGTTTGACCTTATTACGGGCCTAAAGAAATAATCCTAATTAATACGATTTTATCTAAAGATATAGACATTATCTCCATGCAATGAAGAAATGAGGAACAAGATGTAAGATCTGCAAATCACATGTTCAGAAATATGCCTGTTAAATAAGACATAATGCCAAGGACATACACAGATACTCGAGTCAGTAGCAGGGCTCCAATAGAAACAGGCACTTTGCCCGTCTGACAGACAGCTAAGAATCAAAGTATTTCCTATCAATAAACATAGTGGAACAATTACAGCAGTGATGTCTAGACATGACAGCTTTTTATACTGACTCAAAGAAAGACGGTGAAAACTTTGCTCAAGAGGAAAGTTCGATTATTTTCTCCTCCTTCTCGGTTTCAACTCCCCGTTAGCTGTCTGCCAAGCTGCACACACACACACACACACACACACACACACACACACACACACACACACACACACACACACACACACACACACACACACACACACACACACACACACTTACACACACACACTTACACACAGCATCATACTGGCACAGCTTTGCACCAGCTAACACCAAGCCAAGTTTTGATTCCCCCTCCTGATGCACAGTCATAGGTGAAATTCATTATAGGGTGAGAGGATGAGTGACATCTTAAACAAGTGTGTGATGCAAAAAGAGCTTGTGTAGGAGAGGGGTGTGGGGGTCAAAAAGGAGCGAGCAGTAGCTTGAAAGTCAGGCGTTTGATTCCCATAAAACTCATGGACACCAGCTGAGCCTGTTATTGACAACTAATTAGAAAGCAATTAGCTCGAAACATTTCATTATTGAAAACAGATGGGGTGGCAAGAAATGAGAGAGTTCGCCCCCCCATCAACCCACACACGCACACACACACAGACACACACACGCGCATGTGTTTGGCTGCAAGTTTAGGAGAAAATTGCCTTTTCCAGGGCTGATCAGAGGTGGACAGCTTCTTCTTCTCTTCCTGGACCCACATATCATACAGTATCAACACTGCAGGACACCACATGCAAACACACTCCCAGTCCCAACACCAAAGGAAGATACCCCAACCTTTCCAAGATATGTTCAGCTCATAAATCAGATTTTTCTTTTTCTTTAAAAAAGAGCAAAAACAAATCTCTCATTGACGTGAGGTGAGGTGAGATAACTTGATGTGCTTCCAGCTTAGCATGTTTCAGGAGAAAAACCACAGAGCAAGTGAATATCATTTTAATATTCAGTAGGCCTACTTGTAAGACTCAGACTTTAAACAGTAGTCTGTGTTGGCAATATCCTGTTCTCTTGCCCTACTTCAAACACAGAGCCTCGGCTTCATCTAAATTACACATGGACTGTTTTGTTTTCCCTCAAATATTTAAGTAAGGTGTCAGATATTTAGAAACGGTATCAGATGTAACACATGGACGGCTTCCAGGCAGCGCAGATATGCAAGCTAATATTGTTCTCAAAAACAAACACACACGGTACACATGTTGGAAGAAAGAGGGCTGTATTGTGAGGGACTGAAAGATGTTTTATTTGTATTTTATATGTAAAATGTAGTGTATTGAAATGAGTAACTTTGGTTAGAGGTTTTGTAGGGACCTAATAGCTTTGTTAAATATGTTGTTTACACATGGGTGTAGATTAGCTTCAGCCAAAGCAAATATCCTAGTGTGCTAATAAAATTAGTTATAGATGTCTAAGAACTGTTCACTTTAGTTGAGTTGTTATAATTCACATTTTTAGTGCATTACTCTTTATTTGTACAATCAAGTTTATATACTTCAAGCTAATATTCTAACTTTGGCTGTGTTGAGTGCTAATTAGCAACTATTAGCACACGCTAAACAACAGCCTCCTGTAGCTGCTAGCATGTCTGAGTGTTCAGATTTCAATAATATCATAAATCACTCATCTATTAGCTCTATTTTGAGAGCCAGAATACTTTTTGGTTTGTTTTTGCAATAATGAAGCTCACCCAGACTGTAATGTGAAGTATAACTAGCTTCTACTGCTGAGACTGGAGTGTTGAATTGAGGTGTCAAATAATAGAAACTAAAAGCTGCTAGTCAGGCATTTCAGGAGCAGCTTAAACTAACGGGGTTGTCGAGGTAGCAGCTGGCTCTCATTAACCAGACCCGTGGAGCTGAACCAGAAAACTTGAGGTCAGATTGAAAAATAATTACAACACAGCCGTGAAAATGTGTGAATCTGTTTCGTATCTGCGTCTGGAGAATAATTAGAGGTCATCGGACACGCTTACTGTTAGCCAGAGTTAGCGCCAGAGTGTGTTGCAAAGACAGAAAGAGTTGTTTTTGTATGTGCGTCTGCACACGTGAACACACACCAGTGTGTTTCATTTCTAGCGTCTGTGGAAATATTTTGTTTGTAATCTCTGAGCGAGTCGCCACACTGCAGAGAACTGTAGACTCATTCATGAGTTTCTCATTGAGCAGGTCAGTTTTAAAATGCATTCATGCGTATGTGTGTGTATTAACTTGTGGTGAACCCACACTCTTTATTCTCCACTGGGCATTTAGCAGGCACACAATTCCTGCTTTGTTTTTCCCCTCGCTATTTTCCTCTCGCAATGGGCTACAAGCTTTCCAGATGTACTTTTTGTGTTATCTGATGGCTAGTCTGAAGAATGAGAAACTTGTCCAGATGATTTAGTACAGATCCAAAATAAGATTTGTTCAACTTTCTTTTTTGAAAATGAAATATTAAATCGGCTCTATTTCTCTTTTATTTTAAGATTCACTCTCATCTGGTGATGATGAAGACTATGACGAAGACCCAGAAGATACAGGTAATGAAAATGGTGAATTCTTCATTTCAATTTTTTTTTTTAATACATCCTTTTAGTGAAATTGCCATTCAGTGTCAGCAGCATGGCACTAATTTGAAACTTTTCATGCTGAAAGAGATATGTTAGGACTCGTATGCTTATGATAAACGACATTGTATAGAACTAAAAAGCCAATAACCCTCAAAACAAAATAACTTTAACTCAAAGTAGCAACAACTAAATATGGGAAGAACTGTATAAATCTTCATATTATTTTCTACCAAACTTTTTTCTACCAAATCATTAAACTAATGTTCCATATTTGTAACCACCTATGAGACCTCAATATGAGCTGGTGTTTTTTAATACCTTTAATACCTTACCCTTTTTAATTGTGATCTAGGCTGATTTATAAATATTTTAGTTTGGCTTTTTTATTGACTGCTATGCTGTTTTTGGAAAACATGTCATTGAAATGTAAAAATAAAAGAAATAGTCCTTCTACATTTCTGAAAGCAGAACAAAGCATCCTCCAGTAGTTTTGTCCCGAAGCTACAGTATTCTTAGGACTTAAACATTGAGAATTAATGTGTTTTTTTAATGTGTAGAATACAACCTGAGTTGCATTAAGGAAGCACAACTATGTCGTTAAGCCTAATGAGCAGCATCTGGTGCCACACACAGCTGAGTGACCCGGAGCTGTGAACTGCTGTGAGGGTCAGAGTGAGGGGAGTTACACATTATCATACAACTTTATTATTATTTAGACATTATTATACAACTTTATGGGAACATTAAGAAGTATAGATTTTAAATAAAGGCTATAGAAATAATTATTGTATCCTTATATGGGCTTTATTAATGTGAAAGGCTATGTGGTTAAATCACTAAACTAATCATGATCAAACCACAGTTAAAATTACAGATTGCGTTTTGTTTTTTACGTAGACAAAAGTTACTTTGCAGTACAAACATCAGATATCAAACATAAGTTTAAAAAAGCAATGGCAACCAGCATGACTTGAAAAAGGACGCTAATGTACTTATTGTATACTGAACTGTAATTTGATTAAAAAAAGATATAACTGAAGTGTACCCTCTAATCTTGGATAGTTTTAATGTTTGAAAGACGTTTTTTCACACAAAACCTAAAACCTCACCCCAGGTGATTCTCACAAACTCCTTATCAAGTCTCTATATCTTTCAATTAAGGATTATTGTGTGGCAAATCCTATTTATTAACAAACCTTATTACATGATGAATTGGTTGAAAAGTGCAGCCGAGTGTTTGCTGTAGTTCCACAGTCCTCTTGTGTGTTTATGTCGTCCACAGTGAATCTGCATTATAGAGTTCCACTTGTCACCGTGATAACATATGTTGTCTGTAGGAGCAAAATAAATTGCTTAGAAGGGAGCTTTTATTGGCAATTACGTGACAATCATTGGATTTATGCAACTGATTAGATTTCTATGAGTGTGATCTAGGTTTTTATATCTGTAATTGGAATTATATGGCTCTCATAACCGCTCACTGTGCTCGTATTCAAGCCTCTCCCCAGAGCACTATACCGAAAGCCACTATCGCACAGATCAAAAGCCGGTGTTTCTGCGGCACTTTAACACTCACTGTTGTGATGTGAGCTGTTTTGGCATTCGGAGACGTGCTGAGTTCAGGTGCAGGTGAACAATGAGCGATGGCTTCTTCTGGCTGCGCCCGCTTTACACACTCTCTTCTGTCAGCTAGCATGACTCCATAGAGACTTAAAGCATCTCCACCCTTCAGAGGGCTCTCGACCAGCCAGACGCATCACTGTGCTGCCTTTGTTGTGGCATATGGAGGGAAACAGAGGAAGGTGAGCGGAGAGACAGTCAGACACAGACGAGGAAAAGAAAGTAATGAAAGAAAGGATAAGTGTAAGACAATAGAGCCTGACACATAATCTCTAAAACATGCAGAAAATAGAAAGTTAGATTTCATTCATGTTTATACCGTTAAAAATGCTTAACTTCACTCTCACTGTTTGCATTAGACCAGTCCACATAGTGACAGTGGACTGCAAGTCAGTAAAAAACACCCAAAATCATGCAGGCGGTATCAGATAGTCAAGCATATCTTGAACTGAATCCCAGTCCAACTTAACTGCTCGTCAAAATTGGTGCCAGAGGCAAAATGTGGAACTGTTTTGGTGACGGTGCGACAGGTGAACGCCCAAGCGAAATCAAAGCCTCTTTGTAAACGTTTCGACCAAACCAAGTGTTGTCACACTCAACTCAAAATAAAACAGACGCAGTGGCTCACGCTTTGATTATTAAACAGCCCAAAAGCCGCCGGGGCATCATTAGTGTTTCACCCAACCTATTGTCATCCAACTACAATCATTAAAAGCTGTCACAGTATCGACTGGCGAGAGAAAAAAGCAGTTTTTGTTTCTAGCAAATGATGGGACAACTGCACATTATAACCTAGAAGATGAAGGACTGTTCTATTGGGCTGCATTAGGTTTAGCTACATGTAGTTGTACCTTTTTATAAAATTGCAAGAGCAGCTGGAAAACTCGTGTATTAATCCCCAATCTCTCTCTCCTCATTTCTGGACAAACTAAATAAAATAAAATGGGCAAAAATATGATGTATAAGTAATCCCCTTTTTTATAATCCTCTTATTTTACGACTCTAAAAGTAGGTTTTAAAAGTATTTGGTAGCACTCAATTTAATGAACATAGGAATTTCTGTTAATATTCTTTGTCTTGGCTCACTTTCAACATTTAATCCCTGCATTTGCTCATGTTGGATATTGGAGAATTAGACATGTAATCTTTATATTCATACTAGGGCTGTCAAGTTAACGCGTTAATGCAAAAAAAAATTAACGCCACTAATTATTTTAACCCGATTAACGCATGTGTATTTTTTTTCCTCGGCCGCCCCGTAGTTTCAGAGCGCATCGAGTTTAAAATACCATCTACAAGCTGATGCTGACAGCCCCGCTCCTGCCGCCCGCTTGTGGCAGACCACACTTCCACGCTCACCGGCAGGCACCGACTGGCTGTTGGGAGGACCGGGAGGGTGTGTGTATGTGTGGCCCAAGCGAGCGAGAGAGAGACCTTACGTGCATTGTTGTTGTTAGCATCTGGTGCTAGCTAGCTGCGCTAACGGATATGGAGCTGTTTAAATGAAAACAGAGGAGCGACATTTCGCCACAACTGCGCCGAGCACTTGACTTTATGCAGGAAGCCAGACAGTGGGACATTGTACGAAAAGTCAGCACACTCAGCACGGATAGTGCGCAACATGATTGCAGCGTCCAGGCAGCTCCCGTTTGAGCATATGCCTTGAGTTGCACATAGCTCCAACGATCCATCTCCCTCACACACACACACACACACACACACACACACACACACACACACACACACACACACACCACACACACACACACACACACACACACACACACACACACACACACACACACACACACACACAGTATTGTATTATTGTATGAGAGAGGTTCCAGGTTGAATTGAGGCGAATATTTGTAATGTTCAGAGGTTGTTGTGTTTAATATTCATGAGAATATTTGTCATTGTTCAAATGATAATAAACATTAGCATAAAGCATATTTGTCCACTCATATGATACTAAGACTATTAAAAACTTGAAAAATATTCCTCTAAGGTACATTTAGAACAGATAAAAAATGTGCGATTAATCGCGATTAACTATTTTAATCGACTGACAGCCCTAATTCATACAGCATTGCCGTTTTCTTTAAGGAGATGCAAGGAGATTATAGAAGAAAGCAGCAGAATAAGCTTTAGAGTTACAATGCAAAACGCTTCCCGTTGCTGTACTGAAAGTCGCTGTGGACAAGCTTTGCACCTGCAATGTAAAACCTGATTGTGTTTTAATGTGCAGCTTCAATTCATGGTGAAAGCCTGAAGTGTTTTCTAAATGGGCCGAAGTGGCAGCAGTGGCAGGGCTTACTGCAGACATCCTGAATGCCGGTAAATAGCCTCAGACTGCCAGACTTAATCTCTGTATGTAAGTCTACCTCATGACATACAAGGCTCCGATTTCCTAGCCAAAAGGAGAGGGATTAGCCCAGAAACGTTAAACCCCTATCGCTGCTTAATGTGCGCTAAGCCACCGCTAATTAGCCGGCTATAGCAGGAAGGATCCATGTGACGAAACGCACAGCCAGACGGAGAGTCCCTGTCGGTGAGCGGAAGAACCTCCACATCCACATGCAGAGAGGACGTTAATAAAGATGTTGGCATGGTGAACGAGTCAGGCTATTAATGAGGGAGTTGGGATGGAAAACATTTTCAGATTGACAGCGAGACAGGGGGAAAATTGCAGGGTGAAAGAAGAGAAAGACGGCAATAAGGAAGAGAAGTTGAGTCACTGTAGCTGCCAGATGAAATGATGCTGCTGGCCACAGCTGACTGTCCTCAAAGCAGAGACAAACAGATAGAAAGAAAGACAAGAAAGCTGCTGCAGTCATGAGCTCATGCTCCACTGTCCTCCAGAAGTCACTCAGCTCTCTCCCCCGATGGTCTTCTGGCAAAAAGCAGAGAAGGGAGGATAGATGCCTGCCAAGTGGACAAAGTTAATTCCTTTGCACAAATCAGATTATCGGCCAATTTGACACTAGAATTGTCTTTAATTTTCAGAACAATGGCAGCCATGTCTGTGGTGTGTGTATATTTTCTATTTAGGTAAAGGCAAGGTTTAGGAGGACAAACTGTGAAGTTGTAACCAAACTGACGTTGATATCGGCTGCAGAAATCACACAAATAAGGTCAAAGTTAGTGCAAGTTATGCCATTTTAAAGAGTGTAAATCATTACTGATTATGACATCACCAAGCAAAGAAACTCCCATGAAATCTACTTTGGTAACGGCCATTTTAACATACAAATACAAATATTTAGTTTAAAGTGCTTTAACAAATCCTAAGTCACCATTCGGTCCAGGTTTTAAGACCAAATGTAGAGCAGTCAGCAAATAAAAGCACATATGAGTTATTA